AACCAGATCTTTTGACCTCCTACACCGATACGAATCCGGCTAGGAGATATCATCGATGTATTCACAGAAATACTGTAAGTATTTATACTCTAGTTGAAGAAATTCACATAGGTTATGTAGTGATTTCTGAATTGGGGAATTAGGGTTCCAAATTATTGTACTGAAAATTGAGAATTGAATTTTGTCTAATTGTTATTGACATATTGCAGGCAAAAGATTGTAAATTTTTTCTTTGGCATGATGCTGAAGTACCACCATTTCAGAAAGGGTGTTTTTTGAAGTTGCAGAATCAAAAGCTGTTGTTGGAAGAACAATTAAAATACAAGGATATTGCTGAAAAGCAACTGAATGAAAAGCTTGAGATGAAAAAAACAAGTTGCAGCAGTTGAAGAAGAAAATTGAAGAACTGGAGAGGGAAAATCATCAGCAGAACAAGAAATTGAATTTTGAGAGGAAGTTTGTTATGGTTCTATTGCTTTGTGTCTTTCTAGCTGTGTTTAGGATTAATAGAATTTTTCATAATGGTAGTTTGATGTTGAATTAGAGAATTAATCTATGATTCTGTTGCTTTGTGTCTTTCTAGCTGTGTTTAGGACAATGAGGGTTTGATGTTGTAATGATGTATCTTCTTTTTATCTTATTTTATGAAAAAGAAAAGATCTTATGAAGTTGTGATGATTTCAGTGATATTAATCTTACAAAAATGTACCTGCTAATATGGATATAAAAACTGTATTCAACTTCAAACATTAGTTTGTGGAAAGCAACAAACTAATGAGTTTGTACCTGCTAATTGTACCTGGAGTTTGGCAGCATGAGCATTGAATTGTGAAAGCAACAAAAACTGTATTCAACTTCAAACATTAGTTTGTGGAAATGAGAAAAAAACTGAAAGCAACTTCAACTGTATTCACCATTAACCATCACTGTTTATGGAAATGAGAAAAAAACTGTACAATGAACATATTGAACACCATCACAAACTACTGAAATCAAAAACCATCACCATCACAAACAATAGTTTCTATTACAAACAAAAGTATCCAAAATAGGCAAATCCCAAACAACATTATAGTCTAATAATTTCAAAAGGACACTCCAAAGGGACAAAGTATTCAACTTCGAACAACACACATCAACTGAAGCCAATACACAATAATTGTCATACATTGCAAATCCTATTCAACTTCAAAATGATGACCTAACATCTAAGAACTATTTGGCCACACTTTCTTGTGTTCCTGCATTGTTTTCAACAGTTCTGATCCTTTTGTCACTTGACATCTGAAAATGAATGGCAAGAGTATTAGTTAACTAATTTTTCAAATTACTAAGTAATTAACTTGAATTAAGAAAAAATGTCAACCCTTATATAAATGTTGCCTGTTTCTGGTGAAACCATAACTCCATACCCTTTTCTTGCCTGTAATGAAAACTTAGAACTTATACATATATCAATAACAATTATTTGAAATATGTAACACACAAGTTAGCATACCATTGCTCTTTCTTTGTGTATTTGCTGTTTTCCAACCACAGCAGATTGTGATGGATTCTTTCTCATAGTGGTTTTCCTCTTTCTAACTTGTGTGGAGGCAGAACTTCCTGATTGTCCAACATCATTAAGTTCATTTTGAGGAGGGCAAGATATTGCCTTTGTTCTTGGCCTTCCTATTTTTCTCTGCAGTCCAAGTTCATAGTGGCTTAGGTTCAAAACAAGACACAATGCAATATAGAATAAATAAACATAATGCATAAATACTCACCTTAGGTGGCCTTGGTGCAACTTCATTTTTACAAGATCTTTTGTTATGTCCAATCTGCAAGCATTTTTGGCACCTCATTTGCAAGCCAAATCTCTTCAGTTTAGAAGCACTCTTAGCTTCTTCTTCAGGTGCCTTCTTTCTTGCCAATTTGGGTCTACCTGGCATTCTCTTAAATGGAGGGGGTTTCACCATGGTCCCAGTAGCAGAAGGCCACATTTTTTTCCCATTTATGGGTTCAAGTGCATATGAATAGGCTTTTATATATCTCTCTGTCCTAAAGTAGGGATTCACAAACTCTGAAACATCCCTTTTGAGATAGAGTATTGCTGAAGAAGCATGTATACAAGGAATGCCAGAAATATCCCACTCTCTACATGTGCAACTGAAAGCCCTCAGATCAACAACAAATTGATCATCATAGATAGCAACCTGAAACTTATCACCCACTGCAGGTTTAGGGACACACAACCTACTTTTAAACTTGGTATCCTCAACTTTCTTCCTAATCCTAGGACATATCACATCAGTACACCCACTACCTGCCATCAGCTTTTGGTGATGCCTTTCTATTACAGATGCTCTAATGAGTTCCAACATCTCAACTATGGGTTTTTTCCTAGCCTTTACTATTGTGCTATTGAAAGTTTCACATGCATTATTCAAAATCATATCACATCTAGGCATGTCCATTATAAAAGCCTTACAGAGTCTAAAAGTTTCTTTTTCCAAAAAATCCTTACATGCATCAGGGTCTTGAGCATTCAAATCATCAATAGCTTCTTTGTAAGTTGCCTTATAGGTGTTGTTCACAACTTTCCAGAAAAGGTCTTTTAGTGCTTTCCCAGGGTGCTTCTTTTTCCAATTCATGTATACATGTCTTGCACAATTCCTGTGCTCTGCATGTGGTGTCAGTTCCTTAATGGAAGCAATAAGTCCCTACATTTTGAACAAGGAAAAAATTCAGTCAGTAAAACAATAGAAATTAGTTATGATAGAAAATTATCAAGAACACAAAAAGATTGCTAACCTTCTGCTGATCACTGATGAAAGTCCAACCTAGCCCATCCCCAATTCTGAGCTCATTGAACAATATCTCCAAGAACCATTTCCAATTTTGTTCATTTTCTGAGTCTGCCACAGCCCAAGATATAGGGAATATTTAGTTATTACCATCTTTACCAATGGCACACAACAAAGCATCTCCCCACACATGTCTTAAGGA